CCCGTTAACACCTTCAGTAACGAGGTTGTCACGCTCTGGTACCGCGCCCCGGATGTTTTGTTGGGAAGTAGGACGTACAACACGAGCATTGACATTTGGTCGGCGGGCTGCATTATGGCCGAGATGTTTTCTGGACGACCTCTGTTCCCTGGTACTACCAATGAGGATCAGACGATCAGGATCTTCAGGATTATGGGCACGCCGACGGAGAGGACATGGCCGGGATTGTCGCAGTTCCCCGAGTACAAGACGACATGGCAGATGTATGCGACGCAACCGCTGCGCAACATCTTGCCTCAGATTGACGAGAAGGGCATCGATCTTCTTCAGCGGATGCTGCAGTTGCGCCCAGAACTGCGCATTTCGGCGGCGGAGGCGCTGAACCATGAGTGGTTTGCCGAGTTTCACCAGCCCGCGCACCCGCAACAACACCACCCTCAGCAACCCATGATGCATCCTCATCGGGGCTACCAGCAGCACACTGTGCCGAGCCAGAATGTCTATGGAAATTACCAAGGTTAGGGGCCGGGGCCGCATTTTTACTCGGGTGGTTATGCGGTGAGGGGGCCAGAGAGGAGAGGCTATGCGGTGAGGGGGCCAGGGAGGAGAGGTTATCCTGTGAGGAGGCCAGGGTGGAGAGGATAGTGGATAGGAAGGGGAGTGGTATACGTCTAGCCACGAGCGAGAAGGAGGAGTCTTGGGTTTAGTTCATTTTCTTACGTTGTATGATGGGAAATGATATTGGCCTTGTTTTTTTCTTTCCCGCATCTTTTCTGTAGCGTCAAGCGGAGGTAGTAGTAGCAGCATAGATAATCTCACGCGATACCCATATGTGATAGCAAACCATATGTACATGCATCAAGGATTCAGCTTTTCCATAATATCGATTTGGTAAGGGGAGACAGAGGGAGGACCCCGCTAAGAAGCACATCACACCCCGCTAGCGGCTTATCGATAACCTTAATTTGAGCGCATGTCTCCACTTTTATACGTCGCGCTGTGCTGCGCAAGTGGTGTCACTGGGGGCCACACAGCACGACACCTATCGAGCTACCCGTAGGCGCAAAGTTGCCTTTTTGCTTTTTGAAACCTTGGGACTTTCATTCAAACAAAGAACCAAACTCGCAGCGACCTCACTTTTTTTTTAATCGCTGTCGTGTGTGCAATGGGAACAACCCTCGCCGAGCCGCTTTTTCTTTAGTTGATTTTGACTTTGATTTGATTGAAAGCTACACGACCCCGACCCGACTTTCCCAGCGATGGAGTCGCGCAAAGGTATGTATGCAAATGCGATGCGACACACACACACACACACACACATCCGGAACGCGCGGTTTGATAATAATGATGATGATGATGATGTATGCTGATTATTGTGTGTAATGATGAATAGATGAGGAGGCGACGATAAAAGTCGCTTCGGTGAACAAGAAGTCCATGACGCCGTTACGAGGGGGGGGAGGAGGAGGAGGAGGAGGAGGAGGAGGAGGAGGGTCGACGGCGGGAAAGGACGGGAGGATCAAGCTCAAGAGGCCGGGGCCGAGGTTGGTGAAGCCGGGGAGCTGGAAGGAGGGGGGGGTTGTGGAGGGTTAGTATACTGTCTTTCTTGTGCTGTTGTTGTTGTTGTTGTTGTTGTTGCTGGGGGTTTGGTGCGGTGCTAATGATGGGAGTAATAGACGACAAAAAAAAGTCGAAAGAAATCACCGCCGCGTCTCCCACCCCGGTGGTAAACCAGCTTGACGAATCCTCCCGCGAAACATTTACGACTGGCCGACCGCTCGACGATGTACCCGAGCTGCAGTCGTGCAAGCACTGCAAGCAGGGCGTCACTCGGATTGCGGCCAAGGAGCATATTGCGCGGTGCTTGAAGATCAAGAAGGAGAAGGCTCAGAGGAAGAAGGAGGCTAGGGAGGCGAGGGAGCGGGCGAAGCAGCAGGAGGAGGCGAGGAAGATTGAGGGGGAGAATGGGGTTGGCGGGGGGGAGGATAGTGATGAGGATGAGGAGGTCAAGGTTGGGGGGGGTGGTGGGACGGCGGGGAAAACTGCGAAGAGGGTGGCGGGGAAAAAGACGGAGGTTGGGGGGAAGAAGAGGAAGGCTGATGGGGAGATGGGGGGGAAGACGAAGAAGAAGAAGGAGGAGCCCAAGGGGAAGGTGGCCAAGCCCAAGGGGCCGGTGGATGTGGAGAGGCAGTGTGGTGTTACGCTTGCGAATGGGCTGCCTTGCGCGAGGAGTTTGACGTGCAAGAGTCATAGTATGAGCGCCAAGAGGGCGGTGCCGGGGAGGAGCTTGCCGTATGATATGCTGCTGTTGGCGTATCAGAAGAAGAATCAGGCCAAGCAGCAGAAGGCGGCGATTGATGCGAATGCGCCGTTGGAGGATGAGGATGATGTGAATGCCGCGGCGGTGGATAGTGATGAGGAGACGGCGGCGGTGATGGCTGCGTTGGCTCATTGGAATCCGCAGCCGGTGGTTCCCCAGCCGGTGTTTACGCCGATTAAGAGGCAGTATCAGCTTTCGAGGCTGCATGAGCAATTGCAGACGGCTACTAATGGTGGGCGGGTCAATATTTTCAAGGTCAGCGGCTTCGGTGCTCAGAGACTGCCGGAAGGGCATCCGGGGCTATTCGACGGCGAGGATGCCCCCGGTGAGCCTGACATTATCATGGGCGGCACCGACTTTCAACGACGCTCGTCGAGTTTCAGCCTTTCTGGACCACCGCAACGGCGGCCGTCGGTGACAGGTCGGGCTTAGAAAGCTCCGGCTGGTATTGCATCGTCGCCTCCACCCCAGTTACCAAGAAACCAGTCAGCGTCTCTCCCTCCCCAGCGACGAGCGAGCCACCCGCTTACAGAAACAGGGTCGAACACTGGCACGCTCCAGGGGAGACAGCAGCAACCGCAACCGGAGCCGCAACCACAACCACAACCGCAGCCGCGATCACAACCACAACAGGCATACCCAACACCGGTTCTAAGGTCGGAACCTATGCCGAACCTGAACCCACGCCGGCAGAGGCCATCTCTGTCTTTGAAAGTGCCCAAGTCTCGGCCACATACACCCAACTTACCTTCTGTCCCATCTCCCCACGAACAAGAGATGGCGGTCTTACTGTCGCGGCCAGGGGAGGCTAGACCCAGGCAGCAGGGATTGCCAACGCCGGTTATTCCTCCTCGACCATCTCCACTTGAGCAACCTGAGCAACCCGAGCAAGAGGACTCACTAGTCTCTCAAGAGCAAGCCATCATACTAGGGAGACCTGCACAACCGGCTACATCGTCACCGGCCATGCAGTGGGTACAGGTTCCGGCGGCAGGCAGTCCGCAGACCATGAACCCTCCTCCCACTCCCCGTCTTGGATCGGAGGCGGGTTCACGCCGGGGGTCAATAACAACACGGCATTCTCCTCCAGTGCTGCCCATGACTGAACCCCCAGCCAGACCTCAGAAGATTGTGACCCTACAAGTTCCTCCGCAACGAAATTTACTCCAGCAGCAGCAGCAGCAGCAACAGCGGCGAAGCTCACTTTCATCTGGTCTTCCATCTAGCCCGGTAGTGCCGTCTCAGGCAGCTGCATTGGTGCCTCCTGAGCCGAGCCCAGCGACACTTTTGGCATCACCTATCGCACGGCCTGCTTCACGACAACGACCCACCCATATCCAAATACCACCACCCCAAATACCCGCAAACTGGGCAGGAGTGCCCCCCCATCTTCGGCTTCCAAGCCAGGTCTTGCCATCACAACAGAATGCACAGTTTGCATCGCGCCGCTTCTCACAGCCGCATATCGACCCGTCCACTAGCCAGGCAGCCCATTATCGACTTGCCCAGTTCCGGGCGATGCAGCAACAAGCTGGGTTTGCTCTTCAGCAAGAGCCACTGGCCCCAGGGTTTGCCATGGCAGGACCAGCCCACCCTATTCCTATGATACGACGGGCGTCTGATGCTCAGCCGCCGGTGTCACCGGTGTCGAGGACGATGTCGATGCCATTGGCAATGCCAGGCTTGTCACCGTCTCAGGTCGAGGCGAGGTCGAGGCAGTTGGGGTATGGTGATTACGCAACCGGGAACCCGGCAGTTGAGTTTATGATGCAGCAGACGCAGGGGCTTGTTGGGTACCCTAATCAACAGCAGCATTATCAACAACAGCAACAATCTTTACCACATCAGCAGAATCCGTTTCAGGGCCAGCAGTAGGAGGACATGGACTGTGATGGGTGTCGGGAAAGACGAGTTTGTGGTGCACACGACGCCAGGGTTCGCTGGGCATTCTGATCAACAATATTATCGATATCCACTGCGTCAGCAAAATCCAGATCATGGCCAGCATAGGGCTGGCCTAGCGACATATCCTTTTCGGTGTTTTGCCACGATGAGAAGTCGTGGGTTTTCGAAGTTATATACCCCATTTCCATTTTCATTTTGTTTTTCCCGAGGTTAATGACATTATCTCGATATCGCTACCATTATATCCATGATTTTTTCGGTTGGCGTTTTTGTTCTGGCTTCCGGGAGAGCGATCAATGGGGATGGATATTTTCCCGCAGCATCAAAGGTGGAAGGGGGAAGCGAAATGGCGTTTGGCTTTCATGTTTTTTTTTCTTTTCTGAAAATTGTCTTGTTTTTATTTGAGTTTTTCTCTCTTCTTTTGGTCAAAAGGCTGGGCTAGCTCTGGATTTGACATGAGGGATGGATGGCTGCTATGCTTGGCTTTTTGAGGGTTGCTGGATTATGAAAGGGGGGGGGGGGTTAATTCTTTGGGGCGGGACGTGTTTAACTAGTTGTTTTATTAGAGAAGGGTGGTGTATACTATAGGATTGTTGTTGCAGGATGAGAAGCAGAAATGGATAATTTTGAGTTCACTTGCATTGACTAGAGTGAAGGTATGTATGTGGTGGTGGAGGTATGGGGGGTTAAGGGGGAAGGTAGAGGGGTGGGGTGTTGAGATGGTGGGTGTTAAGAGGTGGGAGACTGCGAGTAGGGGACATGAAAAGATTTGAAAGGGCGTGTGGCTCAGTTGGTAGAGCGTTCGCTTAGCATATTGAAAAGAAATGAAGCTTCTCGATAAGAGATGTGGAGTTCGAAACTGATATGCGAAAGGTCCTGGGTTCGATTCCCAGCTCGTCCATTGGTGATTATATTTCCTTTTGCTGTTTGAGGGGGGTTTATACTTTTTTGGAGGAAAGTTAAAACTGGTGGGATTGGCTGTGATTTGGGAGATGATGATGTTGTTGGTGGTGGTGTGAGGTTTTGAGGGTTGCTGCGGTGGTAAGAGATGTAATTGGTGATTCCTTTTCGGGCAGTCTCTTTCTTTTTGTCTGGGACGTGACTTCTTACATGATGGAGTTAATCTGTAAATGGGCTTCGATTCATCGTTACTTCTCGCCGTCAATATGGCAGACTTCAATCGTCCAAGGGAAGATAGTCTCACGACCGACCGAGACAGACCGCGACAGTGACTTTTGTAGCTGTTGACTTCCCTCTTCATGGTGAGTCGACCTAGAATCAGATAATTAGACACTTTGAAGACGAAAGTAAAAAGAAAGAAGGACAGGTCTGTCCAACTCCCCGACGGTTCGACAGATGACTCCAAGACCTGCTTGCTTGGTCTCCAGGGAACCAACCACTTTTCCACCCTACCTCCCCCATCACCACCATTACCACCATTACCACCATTACCACCATTACCACCATTACCACCATTACCACCATTACCACCATTACCACCATTACCACTCCCCCCTTCCCTCCCACCATCACCACCACCGTCACCCGTCACCACCGTCACCGTCACCACCCCCCTCTCCCCCCCGGCCCCGATCACTCACAATCACCCCTCTCTCCCCCCCGGCCCCGATCACTCACAATTACCCCTCTCTCTCTCTGGAGCCGCTTCTCCGTCGTTCGGTTCAACCACCGTTCGCCGCGATGGACGAACAGTTCTACCGACCGATTTCGCGTCGGGTATTTCCGTGCGTGCGCGCGCGCCCGCCCCGGGGTAATTCCCAGTTGTGGGGGTTTGGTGTGAGGACCCAAGGTCAAGGTGGGAAGATGAAGGGCCCAGGGGGTTTGCTCGCTTTATGGGTGGTAACAATCTGGTGGTGATCTGGTTGGGGGTTGGGGGGTACATGAGTTGAGTTTTTAGGGGGAGATCGGGATGATAATTCAGGGGTCGAGGGAGGATGGATGGATTGTGATGTGGGATGTAATTATCAGGGGAGTAGTGTGGTTGGTGGTGGTGATGTCGGGGGATGGACTGGACATTGTTGTTGGGTGTGATGATGGTGTTTGGGTTTTTATTGGGGGAAATGTCAAGCAGATTGGGGATTGATTATTGCACTTTTCTTTGACTGATGGGTTATATTTTGTGATGTACATGTTGTTTTTGGTAGACGAGGATAGAAACGACAGGAACCGAGCTGTGGGTTTTGTTTCTTCTACAGTCTGCTGATTACCTTTTCATCTAAACACTGGAGTTTTACTGTTCAGTTTCGACCTCTCGAACCTTTATACGCAAACACTCCAGGAAGCCAATAGAAGCATGTGAGAACCCTGCCGGATTTCGGTACTCACTCATATCCAAGTCCATCCCAATTCACAGTAAGCTCTTAAACTTATGATTCCACCGTACCTGCATCTTCCTACACTTATAGAGCATGCTTAAATATATGTAACATGTGAAATCCACGATTGCACAAAGTCTCCTGCACCCCACAATCGGGAAGAGCCAGGGGGGGCCACCACGCTAAGAAGCGGGATGACGTCGTTGGTTCAACACCCCGAGCTCCCCCCACAACGATGGCATGCCGATGCGTTCATCTCTTGTAGCATTGCAACGGGAAAAAGAACATGCTACCGAGGTTGTTTGCTTCACGATAGTTTTTGTCCTAATAAGTTTGCATACCGCCGTTCTTGCTGGCATCCCTTCCCCATTTAATTCCCTTCAATACCCTATTGAATTCCTCCTCTGAAGCCTCGATCCCATCTAGCTACCTCATTTCCTGTTATTTCCCTGCAATTATACCCCCCCCCCCCCCCCCCCCTCTTCTGGTCCTGATATCAAAAATGCCCCGAGCATCCAAACTCCTCCCCTCCCTAGGCCACGCCTCCTCCGGCGCCGCCGGCACCGTCATCTCCACCCTCCTCACCTACCCCCTCGACCTGGTCAACACCCGCCTCAAAGTCCAGCGCCAGCTCCGCCTCGACTCCTCCCTCTCCGAGGAAGAATGCTACCGCTCCATCTTTGACGCCTTTTTCAAAATCTACCGCACCGAAGGCGGCCTCTCGGCGTTTTTTGCCGGCTTGTCGACGGATATCCTAAAGTCGGCGGCGGATTCGTTCTTGTTTTTTCTGTTTTATACTGTAAGCCCCCTGCCCCCTGCCCCCTCCCCCGTCACTGGTTCATGGTAGTAAGGGCAAAATGCTGATGTAGGTAATGAATGGGGTTAGTGGTTCCGCGCGAGACGCCTCGTGGGCCGTCACCCGGATCTGCCTTATTTACGAGTGATAGAGGAGTTGGCCGTGGGAGCCGCAGCTGGCGCGTGCGCGAAATTGTTTACGACTCCGGTGAGCAATGTTGTGACCAAAAGACAGACGGCGTCGCTGCTGGATCGGTCGCCGAGCTCGTCGCCTACACGGAGGCCGGCGCAAAAGGGGTTTTGGGAGGTGGTGAGGGAGATTCAGGCGGAGAAAGGGGGGGTTCTTGGGTTGTGGGCGGGGTATTCGGCATCTTTGGTCTTGACGCTCAACCCAAGCTTGACATTTTTCTTGCAGGCGATACTGAAGAGGCTGTTGGTGGATAGGAAGAAGTGGGATGATCCGGGGAGTGGGATAACTTTCCTGCTGGCGGCGATGAGTAAAGTTGGTGCTACGGCGGTGACGTACCCGTTTCAGATTGGAAAGGCGAGGTTGCAGATGGGGCATAAGAGTAGTAAAGGCGAGGGAGAAAAGGAGAAGAGGGGCGGGATATTCACTACTGTGGCGAGGATACGAAGAGAGGAGGGGGTTAGGGCGTTGTATGATGGGATTGGCGGGGAGTTGTTGAAAGGCTTTTTCAACCACGGAACGACAATGTTGACAAAGGATGTGGTGCATGGGGTTATCATCAAGTTGTACTGGATTGTGGCTGGGTTCTTGGTGCAATGGCCTGCCTTGAGGAGGATATTGGTGCAGAGAATGAGAAAAAGAAACGAGAAAGGTGGTTGGCAGCTTGTTGGGAGGGGAGTGCTGGCTGATTTGGTAAAAGGCGGGAGGATCGGGGCGTCAATGATGCAAACATGATGATGATTGTGAAATGGTTTGATTGTTATATAGAAGCATGTTGGGTATTTGCGGGGCGTTCCAAATAAAATGATTTACACGGTAAAAGTTACAGTGTCCTTCTTGACCGTGTTAGCTCCTCCCGCAGAAAAGCCAGTGCCCTCTCTGCGTAGCTCGACAAGGCCGGGACGTATCTTGTCTTTCTCTTTGCCCTCCTTCTCTTTCTTGCTGGGTTTGGACTCTGTCAGGTTAGCTTCACAGACGTAGCACAAGACCGGTTCTGATGACTTGGAGGAAGGCTTCATGAACTGGTCGACGCAGCTCTTGCAGAGGACATGGCCGCATGGTTTTGCCAATGTGGCTCTGGATGAGTTGGTGAGGCCCTTTTTACAGGCCGGGCATATTCTTGTTGTCTTTTTGGTGGAGGCGTCGGTTTCTTCGGTGAAGTGGACTGTTACGAGAGTGTGGAGGGAGTAGTAGTGCGGGTTGTCTTGCGAGCTCGAGGGACATGTTGGTTGAGTTTTGGACTTCTTCTTGACTTCGTGGAGGGTGTTGTTTTTGTTGGAAGAGGGCGTTACGAATGGTGACCAAAATGAGGGCAGCGTTGGTTTGGCGGCCTAATTTGATGTTAGTTGTCTAGTCGGAACGTATGTTCTGAGATGACGGCACCTTTTCACTATCAATCGCCCTCCTTGCCTTGGCTCTTTCCTCAGAGACAATACGTGCTAGTTCGTCTTCGTCAAGGGCGAACTTGCGCTTTTCGCCCGTCTTCACAGTAGGGTCAGGTGTCCCGTTTGAATCCGATGGCGTTGCCTCAGGTGGCGGCTTTTCGGTTGGTGTAGACATTGACGTCGACGACTTCCTCCCATCGCCCCGAGCAGCAGGTTTGAGACTTAGCCCGGCCTGTGTCAGCTCAAACTCCCGAATAGCTCTCGCCTGAGCCTCGGCATCAGCACGCGCTTGTTCCTCCAGAGCCTCCTTGTCTTCCTGCTCGCGGGCCTTCTCGTTGCGTTTGATTTCCTTCTTTTGGGCGAGGATGTTGCTCAGGGCGCATTCACGGCAGAATAGATCGCCGTTGGTGCAGGCGACTGGATCGATGGCGGGTTCTAGGCATAGCCAGCAGGAGGCAAACGGGAGGAAGGAATCGCGGCCGAGACGAGCGGTGGAATCCCCCCAAGCCGCGCGAGCCATGGCCCGCTCGTGGGAGGTGAAGATGGGACGGGTGGTGTTTCTTTTGCCTGGAGAGTTAGTCTACATCGCTTCTTATTCTTGACAGGGCAATGCCTTACTGTGTGCCATGTTTGCGCGTGTTGATATCTACTGCTGATATCTTGATGTTTGGAAGACGTCGCAACCAGCAACAGAGCTGCTGTCAAAATAAATGTGGGCCCCTTTCAATCCCGGGGAAAGCTTGGCACTGACCCCCTGTCCTGTCTTTACCAGGGGGGGGCGACAGGGCACATGCTAAAATCGGCGCGGGTCGCGTCCTTTTTTCTGTTGCGGGCAGCGGGCCGCGATTTTGAACTTTTTGTCTCCATCTTTCCGATCGCTTGATGATTGATGTGTGGGCCCTCCTCTCCTCGTGGGCGACCGACAAACCTGCTGAAGAAACACTTGAACCTTTTGTTGGCTCTGCGCCGTTTCTTGCTTTTTGCCCACCTCTCACACACCCGTCCTTTTTACGGTCGGGTCCTAGGTTACGACTCCCATACTTTATATCTTGCGCTCTCTATTTTTTCCCACTTTTTGTCGCTCTCCATATATCCCCCGCGGCAATGGAATAGACCAGGTTCACCTTTTTTTTTTTCGACCTCAACAAAAAATCTCTACACCTTCCTGTTTTTAACCGTCACAGAGTTACATCGGGCA